ATTTTTAAAATCTATTTTTTAATATTTAGTGCAGTTGATACTGCGAAGTTACAACTTTAATGTACTTTTTCGTGTGTAAGTGATTTTTAGATTTCAAAATTTTAGTATTTGAATGAGTTTGGAAAGTATTAATTCAATATACGAAACTTATTAATAATAAATGACTAATAGGTAATTCTTCCATAAATCAGTTTCTTAATAGTAGAAACTGTAGAGTTTAACCTTTAAAATTTGTTTCTGATTATCTTGTCAATGAGTACATTATTCTTCTTAATTAGTCTTTATTGATAATGGATTTGATCGTTCATTGTGTATTCAAACGATTCGACCAATTCATAATGGTTTTATGGTAAAAATAATATTTTTTTTTGTTTCTGTATCAATCTTTATATTGTAAACCGGTTCATTTACATCAGTCTGAATGATGTCTCAGTCGTATAAAACAATATAAAAATATTATTGATGAATTTCAAGAAATGACACAAGGCGTATATATTTATAAGCAAGAATTATTAGTGAACTAAATACAATTGATCTTATGTCTTATGATTCATTGATAAAAAAAAGTGATATTCATTCTTTGAACATTGTGTTGAATATTTAACCGACAATGCTGGAATAGACCAAATAACTGAATAAAAACTTTTCATTGATTTACTATCTATCTTCTCTTGGATGAAATTCATATTTTTCTATTATTCTTTTTCGTTATTTCTGTGGTACTTCATTTTTAGATCTGTATATAAAGAAATTTGATGATTTAGTCTGGATTATGTGAAATAAAACATTTATTTCTTTATTGATCTTTGATTTTACGAAGAAATTTATTTTAAAGTTGCTCATAGTTATCTAAAAAACGAAGCATCATTGTAAAGATACAGATTTGAACGTTTTCAATCTATAGTTGATAAAATACAAGATATCGATGAATGAAGAATTTAAGTATCAGTTCGACTTCATTGATATTCGTATTAATAGTTTCATATTGAATTATACTTAAATATATTATGTTGAATAGAAAATGAGAAAAATAACAATAGCAAGATTGTACAATAAAATGCTTACTACTGTTACCGGCTTCATCGTTAATGTATGATGTTCTCAAAATATATAATGACAAATTTTTGAGTAGGTTTTCAATACTAGAAAATCTTTATTTTCTCTTTTGATATTCATTACATAAATAATTGTTTTTTGCAATGCAGTTGCTCGCAATTACAGAATTTTCCGTTATATTTTTGATTGTTAAATATTGCTTAATATTAAGGAAAACGTTAACGTCCTATGTTTAAATCAATTTTCGAACTAAAGCCATCATATGCTATTTTCTGATATTTTGTAAAATGTTGGAATATCTTATTCCAGAATAGAGATGACATATTATTTTATTTGTCAAAAGTATATGATTGTTTTCTTTTTCATAATGCAAAATTTCTGAATACCGTAAGTCCAGTGGCGTAGCCAGCAGGGTAGCAATTGGGCAATTGCCACCTAAATCAAATTCTATTGCCACCTAATTTTTTTTAAATGCGCGCAATTGCCCATTGTCAAAAAATGTTAATACCTGTGTATGCTTAAAGATTCAAGGAGTGTTTTCTTTCAATACATTTTCTCTTGATGAGATCTAATCAAGTGATTTACAAAAATCAATCTACGATCTTTTGCATTCAAAGAATGATCACAGTAATAATGATTTAATAGTATTTTCTGTCAAAATACGCTCTAATATACTTAAATGAGCTAAAGAGAAACTTGAATGAATACTCAACGATCTCTCTACGAACATAAATCGTATTGTACAGAAACGATTGAAGCAATCTAAATTAAAAGCTTCCACAATGTATGTTGTAACATGATTCTTGCACTCTTAGAGTTGAAAACGTGAATAAACTACATAGAAAATCTAAATAAAAATCGATTGAGTATCTAAACGACAGTGTTTTGAAAACTCATCTCAGGCATTGAAAGTACTAGAAATGAAATGATAATATGTAATTTACAGAATGCACATATGACTGAACATTGAAACCATGCAAAAAAGCTTTCATGATTGAGAATTTGTTAGAGATATATGTGGAGTAATGCTTGTCATTGTCCGACGTAATAGGACAAACTAACTCATGCAGTTGTCCGATTAAAGAAGATAAACGAACCTTCATTGCCTGACGAAAGAAAATAAAGAGGCATTGATCAATGTTTCACGAAAAAAAGATAGACTGACAGTCATTGTGTCTCTACCACATATTCAGAAAAGAGATTGATTTTCTTGTTCTATTGATACTTATTTATGACTTTTTGACATAAAATATTAAAATATATGAAATCAAACAGTACGTTTCTGAAATAGTGTTTAAAAAAAGCGAGCAAATTTATCTGTTAATCCAGTATGACTAATTTCTCTTCAGTAAACAATAAATTCTGTAATGCGGACAAGTATTTAAAAAACTATTGCCCACTAGGTTTTACAATTGCCCATTGCTGCCACCTATTCAAAATAATTTAGCTGGTAAATTGCTACCTATGTAAAAAATCCTGGCTACGCCACTGCGTAAGTCATTTATTAAATAAGACCATAAAATCGTAAGACAACCCGACTGCTAATATCATTATCAATGGAAGAAATACTAGTTTTCTTGTCATTCGAGCAAAAAATATTCACTTTAAAAAAGTAAATTAAATATATAACCCATATTCCAGATCCAAGAACGAGTGAAACGTCTATACATGTTTTGAAATATCTATATTCTTCAGGGTTATATTTTCGTGTATGTACACCTGACTTCCAATAATGCAGCTATTGGTCTAGAAGAATGATTTCAAAAAAACCTATTTTTGAGAATGTAATTACAATTTCACTTTTTTAAGAAGTGACGGCAGGATAAACTGAATATAAGTGAATTTACAAATGCGATTAATTCATGTGCAAATATTTCCTGAAATAAAAACATTTACAAGAAAAAAAAGGTTTTTATCGGTCTAATCGTTGATTTATTCGATGGAATAAAATATTCATTTTTGGTGTGTTAAGAATAGAACAACAATGTATTTAATTTTAATCTAATACGAAAAGTAGATTTTATTAGAGTGATTTAACAGCTTCTCTTTTGTATTAAGATATTTATGATAACATTTTATGGAGAAATTTAATTGATAATAAAACAAGTTCTGGAACAATGACCATGTAAATTCAAGATCAAAATAGATTCAATGAATATTAGAATTATCTAAATGACATATATGAATTAAAATGTTTCGCCCCGTTATTAATATCACTATTTCTGAATTATACTAAAAATAAAAATATCTATGTATACCAATGGCAAGAACGAGTGATGAAATCATCAATAATTTCGATGGGACAAACCAACGTATGAAATGTTGCTGCTCCTATTTTTCCTAAGATTCAAACGATAGAAGAGATATTGGATTCTAGACTTCATTGTTCAAAAAATAGAGAATATGTTTTTGTTCCACGATGAATATAATAATCATAGAGCGTGCTACTGAACTGAAAACGATCAGCATTTTTGCCCTTGGAGAAATCTGTATTCTTGTAGAGTTAGAGAAAAAAAAACAAAAATTGTGTATATTTTTCTTTTTCTTTTTTTTTCTGAACCTAGATCAATATCAGCACAACACTCATGAAACAAAGATTCGTACCAATAGGGACACAATATTGACAACAAAACAATAAATGTATTAACAAGATCATTTTCATTTTATGTGAATGTCCAATAGAGAAATATATGTTAGAACTAATAAAAGTTGATACGTAAGCAATTAAAGTTGTTTATATATTTATAAAATCATTATCAAGTTAAATGTCATTAACAAGAAAAACGATTCATATGATTTATTTGAATACGTTCAATTCTAGCAAACGATGAAATAATCCATTTGACATACACTAAATTTCAATAGTATTAAAATTTTTTATACTTTTTATATTCGATTTCAACAATTTACTTTCAATTACTTCAAGTTTTATTGCAAAAAATATTCAAATCAATATTTTACTTCTTCTAATGGGAACATGATGGACTCTAACAATTAATCTTTTGTTCTTATCTAATAAATAATTCAGATGTATATAATGTGTTGACAATAGTCCCCATGCACTTCAAATATATTTTGTTATCTATATAAGATGCAAGTCAATGTTGCATCATATTAATGATTTTTTCCAGAAAACATTATAGTTGTTTAGTATAAATTATGAACGAAATGAGCAAGTTAGTTGCTAAGCAATCTAATTATCTTTCTCATGAAACATTGCTCAAACTATTAGATATATCATTTATGTTTCTCGAAACTTCTGTTTTCTAATTAAGATCGAGAATAAATGAACATGACACTTAACGCTACAAAAAAAACCACTTGTAAATATCTTTGTTATTGTAATTTTCATGGATATTTATAATACAACTAATAGTTATTTTTCTTGTTATAACATATATATATATTTATACATAAAGATCAAATCTAAGAGGAGAGAATTACGTATATAGAAAAGGAATTCTCGTGATTGGTTTTATATGACATCTATCGAGAACTATCATATATAGTTCTCATCGCTTATTCTTATTCTTGTGTAAAAAAAAAAAGAAGGGATGGTAAACAAAAATGATGACGTAGAATATGATGATGATGTCAATCAACCGTTATTGGGAAGATTGCGAGAGCGAAACTATTCATTATTTTTTTTTACAAAAATATATTTCGAAATATAATTATACTGTGAAAAAATCAAACAAACTTATAAACAAATCAATCCATAATGCCAAATAATGATTTTCAAAAACAAATTAATAATTTTCATATTGTATGTATTGTTTTATTTCAATTATTCCATGTATTTCTTTTTTTTCTTATGTAATTAAGAACTTGAAAAAATTATCAATTATATCTTGAACAACAAATGATATTGAACAATGGCTTTATTCATTTGATTTATCAAATTTTGTAAACAAAATGATATTAATGGTTTAACATGATTTCTTATGAAAGAAGATGATGTTAAACAAGCACTATTAGCTATTGAACGTTTAATTGATGTCAAAAAATTATGGTATCGTATACGTATATTATAATGTAAACATAATGATTTTTATTTACCATTAAATATATCTATACCATGTATATTTAGTGAGAATGATTAACAAATTCATTTATTTAAATCATTAGAACAACAAAATTATTTTGATAATATTATAACCTATAATTATTCATCATTATTGCCAACACATTTATTTGAATCAAATATACACAATAGGTATAGTACATGTCAAATACATGGCCAACAAAAATCTATTTTTTAATAAATCAAAAGGTTAGAAACAAAAATTATTAGACAGTTTTATTTATGCATTACTTAATAGGATATAGACATCATTTATTATGGTTGTTGTACATAATCGTGTATCGAATGTACAAAAGTAAGAAAGGAAATACAAACTTTATATTTAATATTAAATAAATATATTTTTAGATATTCATCATTGTCTGATCTATTCCTTGATAACATTCCACATATTTGTAAGTACTTTAAAGGAACTCTTACCCTCCATTTTCAGTGTTTCTTGAAAACAGCTCTACGAAAAATGATGAAACTTTCAAGACAAATAGGTCTTGATAAATAGAACAAAAGTTGTCATAGATTCAAAATTCCTAGATTCTTCCTTCGAGGAGATATGGGGATCGCAAAGGCGAGAAATGGTCAAAAATTCTTTCCTCTGTCCTCGCAAAACTCTATACCTCGTTTTTTTTCGAGCTACAATTTTCTTATGGCACCTAGAATCAAATCGAGGTGTGTGCTTTATTTTTTCTTTCAAAAATATCGTTCCTAGAGCTCAAGAGAAGCAAAATATTGGTAGCACTGTCAAAAAAACATTCTTTTTCAAAAGTACTATTTTTTTAAAGGCTGCTGAATTTCTTATGAACAACATTTTGAAGAAAACAAAAATACGCACTCTAATTTGATCAAGGAACTCATTAAAAAAAACCTTGAACCTAACCGGACGTATCGTATGGGAGAAAAGGAAGGAAAATCTCGTTTTTTTAGTTCAAAAATTGAGATTGAGAAAAACGCGAAATAATGTACAGTTTTTACTATTTCCGTTATGTTCACATGATTTCTTCTCAATTCTTTGACGTTTAAAGATAATTTTTAGATACCGCTTCAGACTATCCAGTGGTCACAAAAAACAAAAATTTTGGGTCACAAAAGATGGGAAGATATACCCTTGAGGAAAAAAAATGAAATAAAATAATAAAAAAAAAAATTCTTTTTTAGCTTAGATATTTGCTGTTAGTGAATATATGGTTGTTATTATGAGTTTTACATTTTTATTGATTTTAATATTTCATAAATATCGGTAAACAACATAGAAAAAATTCTATTAATTTTTTTTTATAATTATAATTTCTTCTTGTAATAGGAATATTATATTACGAAGATTTTTTGGACTTGGTGAAACAATATTTTTTTCTACGATCAATAACTATGTTAGTTACATCATTAAGTGTAAGTAAATATGACATGAAAAATGTTGTCAAAGTTTTTAACTATATTAGCCGGAATAATTTTCAATCTTGAAAAATTTTGGTTTTGTTCAACTTTAGCAGAAAGCTTCTAATCAGTCTCTTGAGTTATCGGGCTGCTCTCCACCCAAACCCTCTCAGCCTTAAAATACATCTATATATGGAATCATTTTGTGCGCAAATAAATATTGAATATTTGATGTACAGCACTGCGGATTAATGTCAAATGAATGTGAGTTATCGAAAATTAAATATTCTGTTTGATGAAAATCTGTTGGACAAATTAATTTATGCTTTATGTTGATTTTCTATAATGAGAAATAAATAGGATAGAATATATCAGTTTATGATAAATGAACATATATCTATATGTTTGAAAATGAATAACTATAAAGTCAGTTACAAAGAAAATTATTTTGTTTAAATCGACTTATCATATTCTGCTTTATGACATACAAAATAATTTATAGTATCCTGATAAGCTTAATAATGGGTTTTTTTATGAAGGCTATAAAAGCGCCCTTATTTCGAATTTTGAAGAATTTAGTACTAAATTTTATATTTAAATTGTACTAATACACTTGAAACTCTTCTTATTGCGTCATTTACATATGTATATTTAGGTCGTCGACCTCATATCATGCTTATCTATTCAAGTACAATTTATTTTTTTTTAAATTAAATATTTAATCAAAATGATAATACAATTCAAGAGGTGTTTTATATTTTAGATGCTCGATCAGCATCTTGATTGTACTCCGTTAGTAAAATAAATGTCTATTTGAATAAATTTTGAGTATTATAATATATTCTTTTTGTTTTTTTTTAGAAATATAGCACTTCTGAAGAAATTTTATCTCGTTATATACAAATTTTTCTTTTTCCACGATTATCAATTCAAGAAGTACGATCATGTGGTGATCATATGTTTTCTGGTTATACAGTTATATTAACATTATTAAATCATTGTATTACAGAATAGAAATTTAATTCGAAAAGAAAAAAGAAATATATTTTATTTTTTTTTATCTTTCGATACAACATCTGATTTTTATGAAATACATCTACTTTCATGGTTCTGTAGTATATATGGTATGATTTTAATTCTTGCAGGATATGAACATTATTCCATTGGTATATCTATTGTATTTTTTTTTAACAAGTCGTTTATTTCTATATTATCATTCATTAACTAATAATACTGTTTTATATTCAAGTTCAGACAGTCGTTTATCAATATGGTTTTCAATGTTTTTATATCTCTAAAAAATAAATTCCATGTATGGTGCCGAATGTATTGCGTGTACCATGGCCATTAACATTTATTTATACACATGATGAAAATAATGAGGAACAAAAATATTCTTTAATTAAGTTTTCTCATGAACATTGTAGTAATTATGAACGTAAAGAAAAATGAATTTGACGTTGTTTGTTTGTTTTTTTTTTGAAATGATTATGTATTGAGAAGACAAGAGAAAATTTCTTATTCAGTGACTTCTAATGTTCAATTATTTTCAATCCTTATTATTTTATTGTGCAATATTTTTTTTGCTTCTGTATCAGTGCACTTATATGACTCATTTTTTTTTCTTCTTCTTGAATTTAAATAGATAATATATTCTGTTTTTCAGATAATCGTCAAATGGCGACGTTAAAATAGCAATCTGATAAAAGACACGGTATGTCAAATAAGAAAAAAAAAAAAGAAAGATAAGTAAATCAAGATGCGTGCTTTTTTCTTTAAAAACGAACACCTTCTTTTTTGTCATTTGAGAAAGAGTCGAAGGTCGATTTGTAAATACTGTGCTTACTTTTTATTTAGAGATAGATTGACGTATATCAACTTGCTTGCTTAACTTAAAGTAAATATTTTCAGTCCCTGTCTATTCCATAGTCAGGTATTAAAAAAAATAGGGTATGTGTTCCTGTATAATACATAAGTTTTTTTTCAATTATTTAGTTTTATAAAAAAAATGTAATCTATGTCGAGAAAGAGCATCAGTAATTTTTTATTGCTATGTTTTCTTTGTTTTTATCATTAATCAGTATAGAATTGAATCTCTTATCACCTTTTCCGATGAAATTAATTAATATCGTTGACATTGTCACATTTACTGTCGAAATAAAATAATCCATGATAGAACAGGTAAAAAGCAAAGAAGAGAGCCAACTATCACGTAGGTTAGGCAATAAAGAGAAAGGTATGGGTGTAAGCATTGAGGTTTTAACATTTAATGCAAGAACAAGTGCCAACATCAATTGCTCCTTCTACTCTATCTGAGTCTTACTGAATGTTCAAAGTGGTTAAAATTTAACTACATGAGCAAAAAAAAACCTATGTAGATCATTTTTTTCTCTTGTGAGAAGAATTGACCTCAAAAAATATAATAAAACAACAAATATATTGTCATAAATGACGCATGATTTTTATTTATGAATTTTGATATCATCCATCATCAATTTATGAGATCTTTTCCTCTTTCTCTCTGTTTCTCGTTTGTTTTTCGGACATTTTAATCATACAATGGCATTTTTCTTTCAATTCAATTCGACAGAAGATAAATGAGAACTATGGTATTGAGTTTTCTTCTCTTTCATATTTAATCATAGTCTAACTTTATTTCTATATACCGCAATCATATAGTTTACTATTCCGATCATAATGTCCTATATAAAACCGATCTTATCATTTCTTTTTTCAGAAATAAAAAGTCATCTAACATCATGCTCATTTCAACACCATCTGGTAATTCTCATCAATTAACCAATAATATAATATCATCAAATGCCTTACATACTTCACTTCCATCATCATATTCAACACCATCAAACCCATGTACATGGTCAATAAAACAAGTTGAAGAATGGCTTATAGAGCATGATTTAAATGATTGTGTTGATTTAATTTGTTATCAACATCGTATGAATGGACAACGTTTAATGAATTTAAACGAAGAAGATGTTTTACAATTAAAAGGTACAAATAAAAATAATGAATTATGGTTACAAATTAAAAAATTACAACAATTTTACTCAAGTAATTATCATTTATGGACACAAAGACAATCAATACAACAACAATCTTTACCAATGACAGCATCACCTTATTTAGCTTCACCATCATTACAAACATCAATACCACTACGACCTATTCAACCACTAACACAAATTCGCCCACCACCGCCACCTTTACCATTTTCATCACCATCAATTCCATTGACACAATCACAAACATCATTAACACCATCGTCATCATCACATACAACAATACCAATAAATCAAAATCAACCACAAGAACAACAAAAAAATCCTTCTGCCTCATTGCCAACAAATCAAACTCAAACAGTAGCACCAACAACAATGATTCTTGAACGTGCACCATCAACTGTAACACGTACAACAAATCATCAACAATATCAACGAAGATCTTCTCGGAGTTTATCAACATCAAGTGGATCTATTAATCTTCTGCCATTACCATCAACAACAACAACAACAGCACAACGTACAACGAATACATTATTAAATCTACATTATACACCATCTGATCAAATTGAAGATCAACCAATAACTAGTTGTTGTTTTGCTTGTTCAATACGTTCTGATAGAAAAAAAACTTTAACAGCATTTCTTCTTGCTCTTTGTACTTTATATTTTTGTTCATTTATGATAACTATTGTTGATGAACGTTTACCAGATCCAAGAAATTTTCCACCATTACCTGATCTTATACTTGATAATGTTAAACAAATACCATGGGCATTTTCTGTTACAGAAAAAATTATTGTCATTGAAATGGTTACACTTATAACAATTATTGTTTTTCATCGACATAGGTAAATACATACATATATATATATATATAAATTTTGTTTACTTTAAAATGTATATTTTTCATTTATATATAAGATTTTTAAATTATAGTAGTATGATGATAATTAACGGTATGTAATTGAGTTCAATAAATAAAACTATCAAGACAATAGAATACTGACTCTAGTTTTGTTGTGGTGTATAACAAATACTTACATAAATATTAATGTTTGATAAATTTAATTTAAATAAGAAAGAAAGCAAAAAAACAATGAATTTTTTCTTTGTTTGTTGTTTAGACTGATAATACTTCGACGTTTATTAGCAATAGCGGCAGCACTTTATTTTCTTCGAAGTCTTACACTGGTTTTTACATCATTACCAGTGGCTACAGAAATAACTGATTGTCGACCTGAGGTTTGAGATATTGAAATATTTATATATCTATATATTTCATATTTTATTTTTATTAATAGAGATTCAGTAGTTTTGGTGCTCGTTTAAAAAAGGCAACTTTAATTTTTATTGGTCAGGGAATGTCATCATTTGGTGTTAAAACATGTGGTGATTACTTGTACAGTGGTCATACATGTACGCTTATACTTGCTACACATTTTATAAACGAATGTATGTATATAAGAAAAAATATGTTGATTAATCATTAAGGAAATAGATAAAATACTTTTCTTCTATGAAATTAATCTGACTATATAAAATTAGGAACAAGTTTTTAATATTAAATGCTTCGCACGTCATAAAAGAGAGATAAAATGTTATAATGTTTATTAAAAATATTTTAAGAAACTCATTTATTTTAATTGCAAACGAATTTCTATGTTAATATGATTTGAAATACAGAAATTTGGAAAATATTCCGAAAATTGAGTACACATGAAATGAAAGAGACGATAAGGATATGAAGATAGAAATGAATGATTTCCAATCGGAACCGCCGTTTTCAATATGAATACACTTTGAAAGTTTTAGAATCAATGTAAAAATTTCCAGTAAGCAAAAGATCTGAAATAAAAAAAAAGTAAAGAACTAAAAATTCATTCACAACAACAACAGCAATAACAGAAAAAGACATAATATTGCTTATAATAAAACTGTTCTTTTTCTTTTTTAAGATTCACCACGTTCATATCGTCTACTTCATTTTCTCAGTTGGATTATGGCATTAACAGGAATGTTTTTTATTTTGGCTGGTCATCAACATTATTCAATTGATATTCTTGTTGCATGGGTACTTAGTTCTCGTCTATTTATTTATTATCATACGTAAGATTTATTTCTAAAGAAAAACAAAAATAAAAATAAAAGAATTATTTATTTAGTCTTGCCAACAATCGAACATATTTCCAACGAGATAAAAATCGAATGAGAATATGGTTTCCATTTTTTTCTTATTTTGAAGAGAATGTAAAACAAGCACTACCAAATGAATATTGTTTACCATATATTATTAATGAAGCACGTACGACGCTCAAGAGTTGGTTTGATAAAGTTCGATATCCGACAGATTGATTTATGAATTATTTTTTTCTTTGTGTTACATCTATTCATTATCATCATACTAGTAGTCTTTCGTTAACAAAAGATTCTTGCGTTTTTTTTCAAATATACAAATCAAACTCTTTTCTTTTTTTTTGTGTAATTGTTTAATTGAATTTGAAAAGCAAATATGTTTTTCCCACCGGTTATATAATTTGCATACGTACATCTTAAAAATTTAATGTGTTTTCTTTTTCTTGTTTCTATTGCGAACACTCTATGCCTTCTCTTTTGTCATAATGTTCTTCGTTTTTTTTCCTTCTTTATATGTACTATAGTACAATGAACAAAAAATTCGAGTAACAACTTGAATTTTGGCTATGATCATTTTCTTTTTTTTATCTTTGTAATATGTCATTCTAACTGTTTGCTCTTGAGTTAATATCTGTCATTTATAAAGATCAATGTATAACCCTGTGCTCATCTACTATCTACGCAGAAAATGAAAATTTTCATTGTGAAAATTTTAGTTTTTAATCGAACTTTTAGTTCATTGTACAATAGTACTAGGTACATTCCTTACGATTTATGTCAGATGCTACATCAGACTTCAACATCTTGTTGCTTTATTCTATAGAAATATCGTGGCTATTTTTCTACATCTATTTCTTTCTATCTTATATGATTTAATTTTCTTTTCGTCTTTTTTTTTGTCATCTTGCGAAGAATAACAATGGAAACAACATCAGCAATATCTTTTTAAAACAAATTCTATTTGCTTTTTTTTTTTAGATTATAAAAGAAAAATATATAACATGATAATGAATGAACAGTGCACAGTTTCAATCTCAATATAAATATGTGATGGCTGTCAAAATTATTCAACAAGTAGATTATTTTATTTTATTTTGTATATATCTCGTGAACTACTGTAGATGAGCTAGAATGAGCTCATTTTTGTTAGATTACACACCATAGTCCTTAGTATACTAGTAAAAGATTTTAGATCAATTCATTGATCTTTTTACTTCTTCTCTTGTTGACGATATAATCGCAGCATGCCATTATTCATCCTTTCAAAATTATCTAACCATGTATGTTTGCAAACTG